ATTCTTCTATGGTCTTCCTTATTCACTGTCCAGCTTTCACATGCATATGAGGGTATTGAAAATGTCATGGCTTGGGTCAGGCACACCTTAGTCCTCAAGCTGACATCTTTGCTTCTTCAACACTTTAAAAAGGTCTTGTGCAACCACTGATTTGCATAATGCAGTACTTCATTTGATTTCTTGAGTGCTGCTTCCATGAGTGTTGATGGTTTAATGCAAGAAGAAGGAAGTCCTTGACAACTTTAATCTTTTCTCCATTGATATGAATGTTTATAGGTCCAGTGGTGAGGATTTTTGTTTTCTCTACATTGAGATGTAATCCATACCGAAGGCTGTGCTCTTTAATCTTCATCAGTAAATATTTTAAGTCCTCTTCACTTTCAGCAAGTAAGGTTGTAGCATCTGCATATCGCAGGTTGTTTATGACTCTTCCTCCAATCCTGATGGCCACTTTTTTCTTCATGTAACCCAGCTTCTTGAATTATTCACTCAGCATACAGATTGAATAAGTATGGTGAAAGAATACAACCTTGTTGCACACCTTTCTTAATTTGAAACAATTCAGTGTTCCTATGTTCTGTTTGAACAACTGCCTCTTGGTCCATGTACAGATTCCTCATGAGCACAATTAAGTGTTCCGGAATACTCATACATCGCAATGTTGTCCATAGCTTGTCATGATCCACGCAATCAAAAGCCTTTGCGTAGTCAATAAAGCACAGGTAAACATCTTTCTGGTATTCTCTGCTTTTAGCCAAGATCCATTGGATATCATCAGTGATATCCCTCATTCCACATCCTCTTCTGAATCTGGCTTGAACCTCTGGAAGTTCTCTGTCAGTGTATGCCTGCAGCCGTTTCTGTGTTACCTTTAGTAAAACTTTACTGGCATGGGATAGCAAAGGCATTGTCTGATGCGTTCCACATTCCGTTGGGTCACCGCTCTTTGGAATGGGCACAAATACGGATCTCTTCCAATCAGTTGGCCAAATAGTTGTCTTCCACATTTCTTTGCATGGATGAGTGAGTGCCTCCAGTGTCGCCTCACTTTCTTGAAAGATTTCAATTTTTATTCCATCAATTCCTGGCACCTTGTTTTTTGCCAATTCCTTCAGTGCACCTTGGACTTCTTCCTTCAAGATCATTAGCTCTTGATCATATGCTTACCTCTTGAGCATCAACCATTTCCTTTTGGTACGGTGACTCTGTATTCCTTCCATCTTCTTTTGATGCGCTGCATCATTTAATAACTTGCCCAGAAAATCCTTCCATATTGAAATTTGAGGTTTGAATTTTTACTTCAGTTCCCCCAGCTTAAGAAATGCTGAGCATGTTCTTCCCTTTTGGTTTTCTGACTCCAGATCTTTGCACATTTCGTTGTAATATTTGACTTTGTCTTCTTGAGCTGACTTTTGAAATTTTCTGTTCAGCTCTTGGACCTCCTCATTTCTTCCATTTGCTTTAGCATCTTTACGCTGGAGAGCAAGTTTCAGTGACTCTTTTGACATCCATTTTGATCTTTTCCTTCTTTCTTGTCTTCTTAATGACTTTTTGCTTTCTTCATGTATGGTGTTCTTGATGTCATCCCACAACTCTTCTCACCAGAATCACAGCAATGCACAAGCCACCACAGTACAACACAGTGACAGACGAGTGGTGGTACTGACTGGATGGATGAGTTGTATTGACCTCTGGAATGCTGTAACACCCTGGACGTAAATGGTCTATGGCTGTGCACATCCATAAAGATGACTTTTGGAAATAATAAGTGAAAAAGCTAGTATAAGGCAGTTAATTCAAGATTAACAATGATTGTGAGGAAGGTGCAATACCAGCAGGGCTGAGTTCTGCTTTACATAAAAGGTCACTGTGAGTCAGAACCGACTTGATGGTACCTAACAACAGCAAAAAAAGTCTATAGTTTCCTCAAAAGCCAGCAAAAGTGAGCAATATATAGTTGATTTACACAAGGCATTTATAATAAAACTATAACTGAACTCCTTATCAAAAGGTTAGTGCTTCAAACCTGCCAGCCACTCCTTGGAAACCCCATAGAGGGTCACTGTAACTCAGAACCAACTCTACAGTGTTTATCAACAACAAAATGTAAGAAGCAGTAGAAACAGAAATTCAATATTTAGGATACTGGTTACTTCAAGATAGAGCAAAAGAAGGGCAATGAGTTTGTTTCAGGAAAACATAGGTAAATACATGCTGTTGTTTGGTTGAATGGTTCAAAGACACTCAGTATACTAATAATTAACATGTATTATGTTGCTTTTTTATGAACCTTGGTGTGGCACTGTAAAGTAAGCATCAGACTGGTAACCACAAGGATTAGCTTTGTGGTTATCAGTCCAGTGCTTATCCAACAGCACCACACCAACAGAGGTAGATTTAGTCTCAAACTTAAGTTTCAGAACTTTTTACAAATTTGGTTCTTTTCCAGAGGTTCTAGTTATGTGTTCACATTTGTATGTTTTCGTGAGATTTAGAAAAGTAAGATAATGTAATTGTAAAAATATAAGACTGTTGTCTCTCTTCACCTCAATTTCTCTTCACCCTTGTGTCACCTGTTGTTACTAAGTGCCTTTGAGTTGGTTCTGTGTCACAGCCACCCTGTATAGGGTTTCCAAGGAGCAGCTTGTGAGTTTAAGCCACCCACCGACTTTATGGTTGAAACTGACCTTGAAGTCGCAGCGTTTACCCTGTAGCACCACATCACCTGGTGTAGTGGTGCTAAACTGGCTTCAGGAACTTTGTTATTCCACTTAGCGTAGGTTTAGTGGGATATATTTGTGGTCATAGTCACTTCTGGGTGTAGATAATTATGTTTTATCACACGGTTGTTGTTATTGTTAGGTGCTGCCGAGTCGGTTCTGACCCATAGTGACAGACGGCTGGTGATAGAACTGTGACCTCCAGTGTCTGACATATGAAATATGTGAGTAATGGAGAAACTAAGGTTTGCTATCTAAGAAACATTTCGCCACTTATCCAGTGTGTGAAATTGTAAGTAGCGGATTTCGTTTCACTGATTTCCAGTCAAATGAGACTTTCACTTTTGTCATAAATACACTCAGTTTACTCTATAATGTAGCATATTTAATTATACATTCACCATCCGTTTTTACATATATATATATATGTATATATATACACACACATACATACATACAGGAATTCTGCCTATGGACTATATAAAGAATTTTTGTGTTTGTAGGACACAAAAAGCTAAATAGTATCAGCAAAAAAATGTACGTGTTTATGTGAAGCTGCTTATTTTGTACATACTGATTATCAATAAAAATGATCAAATGTTGATCAAATATTTGTCATCTATGCTAGAGGAAAGGCTTGATATGTCGATTCTTGCTATGGAAAATATTACAAAATTGTCTTGATGAAGAGCAATCAGTCATATAGGAAAAATAAAATTATAAAGCTATGTCAGGCTCTTATGTTCTTTATCGTATTTTGTTATGTTTATGAATACATGTCACCTTTTTTATGTAATTTATTGATCCTTCTTTTCTCATTTAAAATAAATATCTACCTTAGTTTTCAGATTCACAAAACCTGGAACTGTTCCTGATTCTATGATAATTTGATGAAAAAGAATATCGGAAAAGAAAACTTCAAGTAAGAAAACACATAATGGTAAACTAAAAGCACTCCTCAGGCAGCTTTTGTTGTTACTGTGTGAAAACGTAAACATCCTGGATTGTGTTCTGACATTGCAGTTAAGAAATGCTCTGTTAACTTGGTTGAATGGGCAGGCGATATACAGTAAGTGGGAGGCCTGCACGAAATAATGGAGGCAGGAAAGACACTAGAAGGAGTGCAGGAGTTAGAGGCAACAGAGGTAAATACTGCTTGAAGAGCAGTTCTGCAGTCAGGGTAATCTACAAGTGGTTATTTGCATAGACATTCATACTAAACCAGGTGTGGGAAGGAGAGCAGGACTTTGCCCATGATAAAAAGTTTTTATAAAAGAAGACAAAAAGTAATCACCAGGGAAAAAATGCTGTGTTGTAGTTTGTTTGCTTTAACACAGCTTTCATTTTGTATAATTCAATTGTTGCTTTATATTTTACTGGTTGCCCACCTATAATTCAGATCAAATTTAATGGAAATACCAAAAATATGCCGTAGTCCATTGTCATCAAGTTGGTTCTGACTGGTAGCTACCCTGTGGTAATGTACGTAGGTGTTGTTGTTAAATGTGGTTGAGTTGGTACTGACTCATAGAGACCCTGTATAGGCTTTCTAAGGAATAGCTGATGGGTTTGAACCACCAACCTTGTGGCTAGCAGTCCAATGTTTATCCTACAGTGCCACACTAGGACTCCATATATGTAGATGTTGAGGGTTAAATACTAAATTTTTTTTCTCTGAGAATAGATGTGTTTTTTTAAATTATGAAAAATGATGAAGTTTGTTGTCTAATATAAATTTAAGTTAGCCTTTTTTTTTTTGAACAGACATGCCATATTGTTGTTGTTAATGCTGTCGAGTCTGTGTTTATATAGCTACTGAGTATTACTCCTGTAGTACTATTTTGGAAACCTGAACATTAGGAAAACATTTAAAATTGCCACTATTTGTTGAAAATGGAATATTCTCTACAAAACTTTTTTTTTTTTAAATGAAGAAATACAATTTAATCTTTAGATTTTCTGAATTATTGTGTGGATAATTAAAAGTCAATATGAGGTACTGTGACAAAAAGTGACAAGATAAATCCTTAGGCTTAATATCAACAGAAGGCTTACTTGTATGGATTTTAAATTCATAAAATTTTAGATTTATAGAAAAATGTTACACTCCTAATGTATTATATTCAATGATGCAGATTAAAATTTATGCTATTTTTGCCCCAAAGTGATTATCTAACTCTAAAGATAACATTATTTTGATATGGTAAGTAAGTAATTTAAACTTCTGTCTCCTGGAAAATTATATTTAAATATGGTCTATTAAATTCTAGGATCTAAAAGATGGCAAGTCCAGATGGAAGTACCCGGAGAGTATTAAAAGCCAAAAAAACAATGCCTCCAAGTTGCCGGAAACAAGTAGAACTCCTGAATAAGTCAAAGATTGTTGAAACACTGAAAACAGCAACTATTGGAAATAATGTGCGAAGTAGTAATCAGAATTTTAGTACTGTTGTCATACAAAACAATTGTAGACTTTCTGAAAATGGTGCTTTCTCATTGGACTCCAGCAGAAAACCAGCACACTTACAGAAATCTAGCACATTCCCTCAGCACTTAATAGAACCACTCGAAAAAATTGTTGATTCAGAGACGAGACTGAATTACATCGATGGAGAAGTTGTGGGCCCTTACCCAAACTCAGCTAAAACAATATTTTCTTTCAGGAAGTTGTTCTTAGAAGAGGCAAAAGACTCACAAAATAGTTTTGGAAATCATTTTGAAAGTCAGGCAAATAAAACACTACCCATGTTTGAGCTACGTGATAAGGATGGTAATCTAAAGTCCATTTGTTGTTCACCTAATGTATTGAGTAGTTGTACTCAAATACCAACGTATACAGTCGCCAGTACCTTGGATGCTAAGGGAAACAACACGATTGTTTCCTACTTAGAAATACGCTCCAAATTAGAGTCCCATGATAAAAACCAAAATAACAATTTGAATTCAGACTTCTGTTTTGTGCCTGTTCAGAAAACACCTAACTTGGCGAATTCAGGTTCCAGTAACTGTACTGCCGATGGTTTTAAAATGCAAGAATCTAGTAATATTTATCATTCCAGCATTTCAGATTGTGGAAGTACAGACTCAACGTGGCATTCTTCTCTCAGTATTGGTAATAATAACAGTAAGTGTATGCATATATATTTTGGGGGGAAATTAAAAATAGTTGTTTTCCTCTGGGATATTTTCAATTTTCAGACATATAGATAATGCGTGCAAACAAGGCTGTTCTTTCAGTGTGGTAGGTTTATGTAGGATTGCAGTGTGCGTTTGGAACATTTGGACATTTTTTACTTAAAAAACGGTAATTGCTCTTTGAGTTTGAGATAGAGAATAGCCAAGAGCAAAGGCACGTCCTGGAATAGAAAGAAACCATGCTTCAGAGGAGGAGTTTTAACAGGGAGGAGAACCTAGGAAGACTGATCCCAGCAGAGGACCAATTCTGAAGAGGAAAAAGACCCTATAAAGAATAAAACACCCACCAGAACTTTCTAAATTGTGTAAACCCACTGTCTACTGCCATTGAGTCTGTTCCAACTAATAGCAACTCTGTATATGGTTTCCAGGATTGTAAATCTTTACAGGAATAGCAAGCTTCATATTTTTTCTATGAACGACTAATGGGCTTGAACTATTGACCTTACAGTTAGCAGTCCAGGGCTTATCCTATAATGCCACTTGTTGTTGTTGTTGTTAAGTGCCATTGAGTCAGTTCTGACCCATAGTGACCCTGTACAGGGTTTCCGAGGGTGTAAATCTTTACGGGAATAGAAAACCTCATCTTTCTCCCGCGGAGCAGCTGGTAGTTTCGAACCGCTGACCTTAAGGTTCACAGCCCGATTCGTAACCACTACGCTACCAGAGCTCCTAGGGCCCCCTAAATTGCCTCTGGACACAAGTAAATGCTGACAGTAATCACTTCATAGTTTTCTTGTTTCGTAACCCTTCCTGTTATGAAGGAGGGGTGGTATCCACCCTATCCAAAGGGAATTGAGTTTTGGCAAAGAAAGACTTTTTCCCTTGAGCATACAGAAGATCCAGAAGGTGATTTACATAGTTGTATGGCTCCTTTCGTCTACAGCTCATCTTATTTTGAAGTTAGGAGATGTTCTTTCTTTGGTTAGTTGAGAGAGTGAGTGACTTATTAAAATTATTTATGAACCCACTTAGTTTCATAAAATTGACATATATACAACATGCCATCAGTATATAAATTAAGAGATAATGTATGCACATATACCTCCAGTATATGTGTGTGTGTGTCTTAGAAAGAATGTTTTTCAAGTGAAATTTTGGAGTTGTAAAATAAAATAGCAAAAGTACATTTCATCAGAATTAGTGTGTTTTTGTTGGCTAATGTAATGTAAGAACAAACTAATTTCATAGAATAAATTTTATTTGTGTCCTTACGAAGGCTACAGAGTGATCATTTAACAAGAAAAATTTTAATTGCTTGAAAATAATATGACTTAAAAATATGTAGGACTGCCTAAGTAATAATTTATAAGTATAATATAGGACAACTTAAGTAATAACTATAAATAGATGGCCAAAGGCTTTAATTTCATTTTTGTTGGTGTACATGGGAAAGTATTGAAGGCTGTAATTCTTCCTAAGATGCTTGCATTTTTAAGGAATAATTATTGAGAGTGTTTTTATATAATTAACATTTTCTGAAAAATGCTATCATTTTCAGATTCTAGTTTTACCATTTGCTTGAGTCCTGAATGAGAGGATTTCTTTTCTTCTTTCTTTAAAAGGAAACATCTTTTTATCTCTGATCTTTCCATTTTCTCAAGGTCATAACCAAAAGAAGAGGATGTTTGCAGAAAACAAAGAAAATGTTAAGCGCATGAGAACTTTAGAGCAAACTAATGACAATATTACTGTAGCTCTGGAAAAGCAAAGAACATTTTTGGAACAGGTAACATGTTGGAGCTTAAGTATCATTTGCTTCAGAACTTTTTCTTTGCATAGGTTGAAAGTAGTTATAAAGTTCATTGATTTCCACAGTGACTTCGTAAAGGTAGGACTTAGTTTTGAAAATAAAGATTGTATTTGAAAATCACTTTGGCACATGGATTAATTGTTCTTGTTGTTGTTGTTAGGTGCCATCAAGTCAGTACTGACTCATAGCGACCTTATTATACACAGCAGAACAAAGTACCTGGTCCTGGGCCAACCTCACTACTGCTGCCATGCTTGAGTCCATCGCTGCTGCCACTTGGCCAATCCATCTCGTTGGGGGTCTTCCTCTTTTTCTCTGACCCTCCACCTTACCAAACATGATATCCTTCTCCAGCGACTGGTCCCTCCTGACAATATGTCCAAAGTATGAGAGACGAAGTTTAACCATCTTCAACTAATTAAGGAAAGATAATTATTTACACTACCCATATAGCTCCATGGAGCTCTGGTAGTGTAGTGGTTACAAATCGGGCTGAGAGCTGCAAGGTCAGCATTTTGAAACTACCAGTGGTTCCATGGGAGAAAGATGAGGCGGTCTGCTCCCATAAAGATTTACAGCCTTGGAAACCCTGTGTAGGGTCGCTATGAGTCGGAACTAACTCCACGGCACATAACAACATACGTCTCTAAGTTACTTGAAAATGATTCAGTGCAGAGTAACCTAGAAAATCGTATGTAGGTAGAATACTCAAATCCCTATATTGGACCGGACACTACTTCACTTGAGCAAATTGCTTATCTTTGCTGAACAGTCCAAGCTGTCTTATACAGGTCATGAGGTTCTTTGATCTACAGCATTAGCTGTTTATACATCTTATCATCATAGGCCACTACTTCTTAAATCCAGACATTCCAACATCCATAGCAAAATCCTACTGCATTCAGGTTAATTTACCCTAATTTCTGTGTTAATTCTGTCAGGTTGCATCATCTGACCGTGTATTTTATAGCATCTGTACATATACTTTGTGCTTTTGTTCTTGCCCTACAGTCTCCATACATATCTGATACAACTCTTGAGTTTTATTGTAATCAGTTTCAGATCTAGTACCAGAGCTGTAATTGAACCTGCTTTTTGTTTTTGTTTTTTTGAACTTGCATGCTATTTGCATAAAATAAACACATGAGTCCCTGGGTGGTGTAAACTGTTAACTCTGGACAGATATACAAAAGTTAGTAGACCAAATATGCTAAAAATGTATTTGCTGATAGGCTTGGATTTATGTGTACTACTTTTTAAATAGGAGGTCTGGTAGCATAGTGGTTACGAATTGGGCTGCGAACTTAAGGTCAGCAGTTCGAAACAACCAGCTGTTCTGTTGGAGAAAGATGAGGTTTCTGCTCCCGTGAAGACTTACAGCCTCAGAAACCCTGTACAGGGTTGCTATGAGTCGGTTCCAAATCCATGACACATAACCACCACCACCACTTTTTAAATGACATCAAGAGCATCATACAGAAAGAAAATAAAAGGTCATTCAGAAGACAAAGAAGAAAAAGGCCAAAATGAATGTCAGAAGAGACACTGAAACTTGCTTTTCACACAGAGATGCAAAGCAAATGGAAGAAAGGAGACAAAAGAACTGAACCTAAAATTTCAAAGGGCAACTTGAGAAGACAAAGTCAACTATTAGAATGAAATGTGCAAAGACCTGGAGCTAGAAAACCAAAAGGGAAGAACGCACTGAACATTTTTCAAACTGAACTGGAGAAAAAATTCAATTCTCTCCTTGAAATACCGAAGTATTCTATGGGCAAAATATTGAATAATGAAGAAAGCATCAAAAGAAGATAGAAGAAATACACAGAATCACTACCAAAAAGAAATGGTCAGTATTCAACTATTTCAAGAGGTAGCATATGATCAAGAGCCAATGGTACTGAAGAAGTCCAAGGTGCACTGTACTGTAGGTATTGGCAAAGAACAGGGCTCTGGGAATAGATTGAGTACAAACTGAAATCTTTCAATAAATTTATGCAGCACTGGAAGCACTCACTCACCTATTCCAAGAAATTTGGAAGACCTGGCCAACTGTTTGGAAGAGATTTGTATTTGCCCATTCCAAAGATGGGTTACCCTACAAAATGGAGAAATCATCAGATGATATTGATATCACATGCAAATGCGATTTTGCTAAAGATAATTAAAAAGTGGCTGCAACAGTATTTTGACAGGGAACTTCCAGAGTGTGGAATGAGGCATATCACTGCTAGTGCCCTGGGAGACAGGCCTAGAGATACGTTTCTGAAAGATCACAGCCTTGAAAACTGGAGTAGCTCTACTCTGCACATAGGTGATTGCCAGGAATCAGACTCAACAGCAGCTTCTAACAACAGGGCCGTTGGAAGTTTCTTTCTCCAGAAACAATTCAAGTTTTGGCTACTTTTAATCTTTTTCACTAAACAGGTAGTTCTCAATGTGCAGTGTTACAATGGTCTGGTTTTTTTTGTTTTGTTTTTAATACATCTTACCATTAAGTGGTAAGATGTATTTTTTAAAAAAAGAAACCCTCTATAACATTACTAAGGGTCAGAACCCATGGCACTTAACAGCAACAACATCATTAAGTGGCAACATCGATGGACTCAAGTGTGGCAACAGTAGTGAGGTTGGCCCAGGATCGGGCAGTGCTTCGTTCTGCTGTGTATAAGGTCGCTATGGGTCGGTACCAACTTGATGGCACCTAACAACAACAATTCATTAGTAATATGTACTAAAAGTGTTGGAGCGTATAATTTGCTGATGTTGTCATTCTCATAAGTAATATTTTCAACCCCAAAAGACTAAGATCCAATTTATAAAGATACTGATACTAAAAGGCAATAATGAAAAATATAAAATACCATGAAGTATTCAACATATATCAGAACTGACTTACAACTGAGTAGGCTTGGAATTGGAGCACTGTCATAAGTTTGAGACTACCTATGTATCTGTATGTTTTCTTTGTTTGAATCTCAGTGGGTGGGAGAGGGCCTCTTGGTCTGGTTGATCCCAGTTAAATTACTGAACTGGAGGGTTTTTCCAGTAACATCCAAAGTATTCACTCCATATGCCATCTTAGAACCTTTAGGCAGATTGTTGCTAATGTAATTGCCAGTCTTTCTCCAATACTTAGGACAGTTTGACTGTCATGTAGAAATTGAAGCTACGACATCCCTCTGATTCTATAATGTTGGGCACATTTGTTGTTGTTAAGTAACTGTCAAGTTGGTTCTGACTCCTAGCGACTCTGTGTGCACCAGAAGGAAGCATTGCCTAGTTTTATGCCATTATCATTTTTATCACTGTGTCAGTCTATCACACTCTGAGTACAGGATCATCCTTTATGATGATCCTGTACTTTAGCAAGCATGATGTTCTTCTCCAGAGACTGGTCCCTCTTGATAACATGTCCTAAGTCTATGAAGTGAAATATTGTCATCCTCTCTTTTCAGGATCATTCTGAATGTGCTTCTTCCAAGACATTAGCTTACTCTTCTGGCAGTCCGCAGTACATTCAGTATGTTTTGCTAACACCATAACTCAAAGGCATCAATTCTTTGGTTATCCTTATTCATTGTCCAGCTTTCACATGCATATAAGGTGAATTGAAAATACCTGGCTTGGGTCAGGTGCATATTGGTCCTCAAAGTGACATTGTTGCTTTTTAACCCTTAAAAAAGACCTTTTGCATCAAATTTGCCCAATCCTTGACTGTTTCTTCCACAGGTGTTGATTGTAGATCCAAATAAAATTAAATCCTTGATTGCATCCATCTTTTCTGCATTTTTCATGATGTGTTCCTTATTGTCCTACTTAAGAGAATTTGGGGAGTCTTTATGTAAAAGTGTAATCCTTACTTTAGCAGTTAAGTGCTCCATATCACAGGTTGCTAATGAGTCTTCCTTCAGTCTGCAAGTCTTAATCTATGGACAAAAGACGTTGTGAGGTAGTTGATGGAGGTTATCATGCCTCCTGAATGAGAACAATTTGTCCACTCTAACCAAGAGAAATCGGAGTCCTGGTGTGGCACTGAGGGCTAATGCGCTGGACTGCAAGGTCAGTTTGAACCCCAAGGTTGGTGGTTCAAACTCAACAGCCACTCCTTGGAAACTATTCAGGGTTGCTGTGGGTCAGAACTGACTCAATAGCACTTTACAACAACCACGAGGACTCACCTCTTGCTGAGTTCATTGTTAAATGCCATCAAGCCAGTTCCAACTTGTAGTGATCCTGTAATAGGGTTTCCGAGGAGAGCATCTTGTGGGTTTGAACAGCTGACCTTGTGGTTAGCAGTCCATTGTTTATCCTTCAGTGCCATACTAGTAGACCTTGCTGGGTATAGTCAAAAATCATACGGCTTAAGGAACTGCCTCCCTCTGAATCACCAGGAGTACGTGTTTAAATTGGAACTTCTTGAGTCCACTATTAGTTGAACACTGTTGTAGGCTGTTCTTTTTTCATACTTATTGGGTGAGAATCATTGGTTGAGCTTGCTGTTTTACAACTTTTTAGGCTCCTTCCCTGGAGATTCTGTTTGGTGCATCCTGAATGGAGCCTAAGAGTTTGTGATTTTAACATATTTCCAAGGAAATTGAAACACTTTATGATCTTCACTTGTAAGAAAAACAGTATGTTTTTCCAAGATTCGAATGTGAACCTCACATGTTTACTTCAGCTGGTGTACCGAACTGACAAGCAAGCACCAGTCAATAAAAGCAATGAAGGGGATGATAAGGAATGGCTGGAGTAAAAACGGCATTTATGTATTTCTTTACGTAATTTTAAAACGCAAGTGATTCTGAGAAGCCATTGGAGAAATGCTAACGAAGGCTTGCTGAAGCAATCCAGTATAATACAAGACCACCTGAGACTCTACGAAGATGAACATGCTGACCGTGTTGAAAAGAGAAAAGGGGAGAAAGAAGAAAACGCCTCAGGAATAGTAAAAATTACTGAAGATGGGTAATCATTCAGATATCAGCATAAGAGTTTAACATAAGAAGTAAGTGTTCCAACTTTGAGCACCACCATGAAGCAAAATATTGGTAGAGGATAAAAATAACTGCTAAGAAATAAATGTACGACAGAAAAGTTGCATTAGTAACACAATGACTATTCTGTTGTCAAGGAGGATATACACTGACCAGAAGAAGTATTTTGCTTACAGGATACACACTGAACAGAAGACCTATAGCAGATGCTGTTGATATCAGTGGACATTGAGATTGTTACAGATGCTGTGAACTTGATTCTGACTCCTGGAAATCCCATGTGTGCAGAGTACAACTGCTCCATAGAGTATACAAGGCTTACCAAAGTGCATCTGGGTGGTTTTGAACTGCCAACTATTTAGCTAGTATTGGAGCACATAACCACTTGCACAATCCAGGGACTCCTGAGGTTAACTCTGCTCCTTGAAATAGGCTAGTGTCTCCCTGTCCCCCACCCCTAAAAAAAGCCAGTTGATGAAATACATTAACATTTCATATGATAACTATTAGGATCTGCTAGAATAATATTCATGCATTGTTGTTAGATGCCTTAGGCCAGATAAAATTAGTTACTTGATATTTCTGGTATTGTCATCTTTCAGTTTTGATTAACTGTGAACAAGTCCTCTCCAAATTACACAAGTGATGATGTTTATCTTGCAGTTATTCCCCTCAATTTCCCGTTTGATGGAGCTCTCATGTGCTGTTTTTTTATGTTCTTACAAAGATCCTCTTAGCCTCACTCATTCAACACCCATTTCTTGTGTGTCCATTTGTAGACAAGGAAAATCAAGCTTAGAGACCTGTTGACTCTCCACAGAGCATACGTTTATTAGTTACAGAGTCAAGGCTCCCAGTTATTTATAGTCTCCTATAGACTCTTATTGCAAACCAACATAAACATTTTCTTTTTTAAACTTTTTATTGCAAACTGAGTGAAAGTATACACACAAGATCATCGGGTTTACATTCAACTAATCATATGTTTTGTTTCATCTCAGTGAGTGCAATCAACTTCCTTGTCACAGCGGTTATCCTGCTTCCTACCCCTGGTTCCTACTTCCATTCCACCGTTCTTCCCATCCCTTCTGAACTTTGTCCTTAGGTCAATGTGGTCCTTTTGATTTTGAATGATAGACCATTCCACAGGGAGCCTACCTTACTAGTGTTGTTGTCCCCCTAATACCTATCCACTGCTTGGCTCAAAATTGGGGACACGAGGGTGAGTTCCTTTGCAGACCTGAAGGGTGATCAAGGGCCATAGGCTCAGGTTCATCCAGTCTCTTAATGATTAGTAAGCCCTGTCTTTTTATATGATTTTAAGTTTTGATCTAAATTTTCTCCCACTTTATCCATCACCCTGTAATGTGATCCCTCTCAGAGCAATTGGTGGTGGTAGCCGAGCCCCATCTACTTGGGGTGTCAGAATCGTAGAGACTGGTCTTCACATGGTCCATTAGTCTGTTGGACTAATTGATTCCAAGCATCTTCAGTTTTCATCACTCTTCATTCTTCTGAACTTGGAGAGGCCAGTAGTTGCACCTTAGATGACCGCTTATGAGCTTTTAGGATCCCAGACTCTGCTCACCAGAGTAGGATGTAGAATATTGTTTTTGTGGACTACATTATGCTACTTAACCATGGCGTCCCCTAAGACTATGGTCCTGAGCCCTTAGGCCCAGCAACTCATTGCCTTAAGATGTTAGATACTAAGAAGTGTTCATCATTTTGCCTCCTGTATGCTCTACCACATTGATAGTTGTATTTACAGCAAAGGTAAATATTTACATACTAACATCCTGTTTTGAGCACTTATATATTTATGGGTATATTCCCATTCTCACTTATCCGTTGACCCTATGTATCTGTTCATATATGTACCCATAGAACACTGTTGTTCCAAGATCCAACATAACCATTTTCCTTGGGCTCTAGTTTCATACAATTGGAGCACCTTTATGTTTGGAATGCGTGCTATTGGTTGTATTGTAAAACTATGTTGTTGTCAGGTGCCATCGAGTCCGAACCGACTCATAGCGATCCCATGCACAGCAGAACAAAACAATGTCCGATCCTGGGCCAACCTCACTACTGCTGCCACACTTGACGCCATCAATGATGCCACCTGGCTGATCCATCTCTTTGGGGGTCTTCCTGTTTTTCTCTGATCCTCCACCTTACCCAGCAATTCATCCTTCCTTCTCCAGCGACTGTTCTTTCTGGACAATGTGTCCAAAGTATGAGAGATGAAGCCTAGCCATCTTGGCCTCCAAGGAGCACTCTGGTTGCACTTCTTCCAAAACAGATCTATTGGTTCTTTTGGCAATCCATGGCACTTTCAGTATTCTCCTCCAACACCACAGCTCAAAGGCATCAATTCTTCTCTGGTCTTCCTTATTCACTGTCCAGTTTTCACATCCATATGAGGTTATTGAAAATACATGGTTTGGGTCAGGCGCACCTTAGTCCTCAAGCTGACATCTCTGCTCTTCAATACTTTAAAAAGTTTCTGCAAATAAGCACTATGAGGATAAATTCTCTAATATATCCATATTTTAAAATTACGTGTGTTCTGAGTTTGATATGCAAGTTAAAATTTTTAACTATTATGGTAATATATATAAATATCAGTGCTATTTTATGGGCAACTATAAATACGGAAAAGAGTAAAGCTATATTTTAAGAAGTAGAAAATAAAATTATTTTCAAAAATGAAATACGAGGTGTTTTGGTTTTATGTTCAAATTCTAGGTCAAACATTTAATTCATCAGGAGATCTCTATTATAAATTGCAAAGTGTTTGATAACAAGCTGCAAGAACTGAATGAACGCATTGGGAAGACACAGTGCAGTAATAAACATGAAGCAATAGCTGATGAACTCTTCGTAAGTTCCTAATTTGATTTGATTTCATTTGAGTCCTTTTTGAAAGTAGAATTTGATTGATATATTACATACTGGGGAAGTAGAACAGTTAAGGAAAGGCCCAAATCTGATCTCTGACCAAAAGCCAGCTATAAGACTATAGCCAGCTATAAGACTATAAGACTATACCATAGAATTGATTATCTCAGCAACATTGATTTCTTTTGGAACTGTCAGCCATATTTTTATGTTGTTGTTATTGTGTACTATTGAGTTGTTTCTGACTCATAAAAAGCCTTGTCTTTCCCCCACAAAGCATTAAGATAGGCAATTTTTTAAATGTTTAATTCAGGATATTCTATATTAGTGTAATGCTTTGGGCCCAAATAGGATTCGTTTTCCCTACAAAAAAACATAAAAAACCCCACACACACAAAAAAGTGAAGACACATGACATTTTACAGTCTGCTTTTTGCTGTTGTTTTCTTGTAACTTCCCTTTGATTCCCAGCTGATTGGTGTTTCTGCCAACATTTCATTGTGGAGTTTGTTCCTTTTATATCCATTCTTGGATATACTAGCATCAAACTTTATTTAAGTATTTTTGATAAGCTTATATATAAAAATTTCTCATTTTTGAGGGTAGATGCCTAAATCTCACAAAATTAGTCTGGCAAGTGATCACTTTCCCTTTATCTCTGTCTGACATAGTACCGCAGTTTAGTATTTACTTGTTTTTCTCTCTTCTAGGCAAAAATAGGAAAACTTCAAAGACGTATTAAACAATTGTTATTATCTCAAAGGAATTATTTGGAACCAGACATGTTATCCAGTAATGTAGCCTGTAAGGTTGGTATAAATACATAGGAGGGGTTTCTTTTTAGGTGTTTTAGTAACCGATTTTGACTCACATAATAAATAGTTGGATTGTTAGAAATGAATATATTTGTAAGCAAAGGCAGAAGGTTTAAAAGTCAGTAAGTTCATACTCCAACAGTTCCTGTGAATCTTGTCTCTGAAGAACACAGTCACTATGTCTTGAGTAAAAGTAAGTAGAGGTTGATTACTTAGGTGGCACCCACTCTGTTATCTAATTGTGGAACGTTTCAAATGTGTACATCAAAATGGAAGGACATTTAGTCTACATTGTATACTGATAACGCTACTAGATTGTGTCATCAATATTTTATTATCATTGTATCATATAGTTACCAATCTTCACCCCTTTATTCATTTCATCGATCCGTCTTATTTTGGGTACATTTGAAAGTACTAGTGTATTTTTTATCAAAGTACATTTTTAAGTGTAGCAAACAACACACTGCTGTCTCATTGATTCTGACTGAAAGGAACCCTGTAGGACAAAATGGTGGTGGTGGTGGTTATGTGCCGTGGAGATGGTTCCGACTCATAGCAACTCTCTACCGGGTTTCCGAGGCTATAAATCTCTACAGGAGCAGAAAGCCTTATCTTTCTACCACAGAGCAGCTGGTAGTTTCAAACTGCTGACCTTGTGGTTCGCAGCCTGATTTTTAACCACTATGCTACCAGAGCTCCTTAATAGTTAAGTGCCACTGAGTCGGTTCTGACCCTTAGCATCCCTGTATAGAGTTTCTGAGGAGTGGCTGGTGAGCTTGAACCGCTGGTCTTGTAGTTCAAACTGTCTTTGCAGTCCAGCACATTAACCTGAAATGCCCATTTGGGTTTCTAAAGCTCTAAATCTTTATGGGAGCTGACTGTCACATCTTTCTCCCACAAAGTGGCTGCTGAGTTCAAACCACTACTTACACATTGTGCCACCAGTGTTGCCATTTGGAATGTGTACTTACTAAACATTTCAGAATTGATACCATTAAGTAGAGTTTAATACCTGTTTATATAAAATTTAAATGTAAGGAAAGCAAAATTCTTTTGTACAGTCAGTGAATTTTTTTGGTATCAGACTTATGCTGGCCTCAACAAATGAATTGGACAACATTCCCTCCTGTTTTGTTACAAGTTTGTGAAGGTAGTTATTACTTCTTTTAATGATAGAATCCATTTGTGGAAGCTCTCTGGGAAGTGAGTTTCCTCTGTAGCACAGCTTTTATTTGCAAATTCAGTTCCTCTGATAGGCATAGGGGAACTCAGATTTTCTGTTTTATTTTGTATCAGTTTTGTAAGCTATCTTTGCAAGCAGTTTTTTCATTTGATCTAAACTGTTGAATTCAGTGGTATAAGAATGTACTTAATATTCTCTAATTGTACTTTGACTGTTTGTAGATCTGTAGTGATGGTGATAACCTCTGGCTCATCTCTCATCTAGGTCACCTTTTCTCTTGATCAGTTTTGTTATTATGTTAATTATGTTAATTCAGTATTTGTATATTACTGATTCCTCCATTTTATTATTTTCTTTCTTTTACTTATTGCGCGTAATTTTACTCTTCATTGTTAAGACAGAAAGAAGTGAGCTTTTAAGCTTCTTTTCTAATAGAAAACATTTAAAACTATAACTTTTTCTCTGATCACTATTTTATTTATGTCTCATGATTTTTGCTGTTCGGTATTTTTGTTTTTAGTCAGTTCAAATGCTTCATAATTTTAGTGGGTGTTGGTTTTGCTCTTTTTGGCATATGGATTATTTAGAAGTGCAGTCATGAGTTGCTAAATGTCCGTAATAGGTTCTGTGAAATACTGTATTTTGTAATTTGGGCATTGTGTGAATATCATATTATTTATGTAATTCTGCAACACTCAAGAAATGCACAATACATGAGATTGGGTGCAGCCACCTGCGAGTTGAAGCAAACACTGTTACACAGTAAACATTTTATTTGTAAGTAGGGGAAAGTTCACATTTAAAATAGCAATAGAAATTGCAGTACAGTACCTACATAAGGCACTACAGGCGTTTTTTATGACTATCAAGACATATGTATTATAGGTTCTATGAGGAGGTTTCAAAGAGTTTATGGGAAAATTCCACTATCTTTTAATTCCATTTTTCTATGAACTTTCTGAAGCCCACTCATATATGTACTGCACCACTGTATGCCTGGCAGTACAATCAGTTGTATGCAAGAAGCATGAGACCCATGTGATGTATTCAGGAAGCTGCTGTGTTCCTGTGTGTGATTATGTATACAACTATATACTGTTGTCCAATCGGATTTCTGTTGTTTTTGTTAAGCTACCGAGTTTCCAGTGATTTTCAAAAGCACCTCAGAAAACGAATACAGGTTTTGGTAACCAGGAAGTGGGTGCTGCTGTAACAGATGCCTCCAAATGTGGAAGCGACTTTGGAATTGTATAAAGAGTAGAGGCGGGAAGAATTTTGAATTGTATGATTTCAAATAACTCAGATTGCATAAGTCATTTATCATACTGCTGATGAGAGCCCAGAAGGAAGTGATGACCCTGGTAGGGAAAACCAGTATCATTTTAGAGAACTCTCAAATCTTCATAAAGAGACTGCTGCCCAGTAATGGATGCTGGAGAGCACTGCTGGTGAGGGCTCAAATGGAAATAATGAACATGCCACTGGAAATTCAGAAAAAAGAGCACCCTTGTGAAATAGGGGCCTAAAGCTTAGCTAGACTGGGTCCTGTAGTTTTATGAGGGGGCTTCCAAAATTGGTGGAACAATGCCATTATCTCCCCCCAAGGTACTTTTTCTGTTTCTTTTTTTTAACGTTCATTGTGAATCGAGTGATTCTTTATAGAGCAGACCATCAGTTTCATGTTCCACTAACCCACACACTTAGCTTCATCTCCCGCAGTCCCCTCAGTGCAGCGCCACCCGTCCATTTTCTTTCCTCCATTATTTTTATTTCTTTTTTTCTGTGAAGTTTTTGGAGAACATTCATGTGGAAAGCAGAACTTGTGAGTGATGAACTTTGAGTATTTTAGCCAGGAAGGTTTCCAATGAAAGTGTTGGTTTGGCCTGGCTTATAGTCAAACAGGAGAGGAAAACTACAAATTGAGCAACTCGTCAGCAAAAGGGAACCAGGACTCAGGACTTGATGATTTGGGAGCATTCTTAACCTAGCCAGATTACAAAAGAATTTAAAATTAGGAGGTTCACTGTTGGAAAGCATGTTCTGGAGAGGAAAATTGTACCGGAGCCACCTTTAGCCAGTACATGAAAGGCTCAACAGGCTACTATATTCAGTTCCAGGAGGGCTCTTGGCAGAGATCAGGCATGTGGTTGTATTTCAGCAGGCAATTAGCCCATCTTGGCTGAGTGTGTAGGTTCTGACCTCCTTTTGTGAGCTGTAGCTTCAGTGACCTTTGACTTTTCACAGCCCATGCAGTGTTACCGAGCTTGGTTTCTTTGTTTTTTGGCTCTGCTTCATCTCCAGCTCAATCCAACAGGTAAGTACTTGGCTGCTGGTTGCCATCAGTAGTGGCCATTGTGCCAGATGTGGGGCAGGGATGCTGCTGAAACTTCAGTGATTCAGGCCTATTGCTACCCCAGGTGTGGGACATGACTCCACCGACACTGGGTATAGAGGGAGGGATTGGCACTGCTGCTACAACAGGTTAGGACCCAGCTACACCTGCTGCTGCTATGAATCCGGCCCAACCACTCCCCAGATAAGCGGAGTGGGGATTCGTCTCCTGCAGAGACACCTCCACCACCCCACCAGTGTGGTGTGGAGGATGGGTCCCTGGTTTCTCTGATACTCAGTCTAGGAGACTTGGGAAATAAAAAGAAAATGCAGGGGACTCAAAGTGGTGGTATTTCTCATTTCTTGAGGTTCCCCACCCAGTCTTCTTCCTTTCTGCCTTACGTCATCATTCTGTAAATGATGTCCAGAGTGTTCAGTTTCACTTAAAGAGTAGTTTGGAAAAACAAGTGTGTGCCACCTTGTCCTAAAATTGAAAGGATGACAGGGCACTCAGTCATTTCAGTTTTATTTTGTTTAAACTGCCTTCTGCATACAACATCTGTTCACTTAATATAATAATATTTCAGAGTTCTACCTATGGGACCTGAATTTTGCTCATGCTGTCCATTAGATAAGCTCTGGAGCTGGATGACCAGGCCCCTCCTTATGCAGTGATCAGTAGACATGCATATATTTCAGGGGCTCCAAGATCTCAACCCAAGGTGAACTCTAAATGGTTTGGCTCCAGGCTTTAAACAACTCACCAACTGAAAGAGCAAATTAGAAACCTAATATATCTAGTCTTTACTTCTTAATAGATGTACAGCCAAGTCTCCTAGTTGTGGATTCCATATACACTAATTATACAAATTCAATAAAATTTGTCAACCCAAATCAATATGTACTGAGCTTTCATGGTCATTCATGAATATCCCATAAGGGCAAAGACAAATTAGAGGTAAGAAATCCAAAAAAGATATTTTTATTTCCTCTTGTTAGAAAAAAGGGAAGAGAAGCCCCTCCCTCTTTTTGGGGGGTTCAAACCCCAGCAAAGTTTTACTCTGTTTGCAGGGTTGCTGCACCTAACAACAATGTAGTACTTCTGTATTTGCTTAACCTTTTTTTTTTTAATGTTTTATTGTGAATTATGTGATAATTTACATGGAAGAACATTAGTTTTACATTCATCCTATTGCATATTGTTTCATTGCCATGGTTACAATCCCCTCCATGCATCATCAACCGACCATCATCAACTAACTAGAAGCCTGCTCCCCCGGTCGTCAGCACACAGCCCCTCTCCCTCTCTGGGTCTAAAGTCCCCAGCTGCTCCATCTCTCCACGTCATAGTCTCTGCCTCCATCTCAGGCATCACTGCTTCTCTGGTTAGGGTCCCACTCTCTGCTCTTCTCCCTTGATGGTCCTAGGGACCCCAGCTCCTAGACTGAAAAATTAATCACTCCCCTCCTTGCTACAA